TCATCCAGCTAATCATCCTGTAACTCATCCAACTAATCATCCTGTAACTCATCCAACCAATCAGCCTGCAGCTCATCAAACTAATCAGCCTGCAACTCATCCGACTAATCAGCCTGTAACTCATTCAACTAATCAGCCTGCAACTCATTCAACTAATCAGCCTGCAACTCATTCAACTAATCAGCCTGCAACTCATTCAACTAATCAGCCTGCAGATAATACAAATGCTCACTCAGCAGGAGGAGATCAAACTTCAACAACTGACCCTTCTCATAAAATTGGAGGAGGAAATCAAACTTCTACAACTGACCCTTCTCATAAAATTGGAGGAGATCAAACTTCTACAACAGACCATTCTCATAAGATTGGGGGCGGACCTCCAACTGATAATAGTCCTCACCAGGCAGGAAAAGGAGTTACACCAATTGACACTAAAGGTGTTTACACCACACCACACGTGCAATTCCCATCGTTTTATGACTTTATGTTTTATACCCAATCAATAATTGCTACTGGATGGCTCTCGTTAAACCTAACTTCTGAATACCGACGATTCACGTCAACATTCTCATGGGCGTGTGGACAAGGATTTATCAATTTTGACATTCTCACTTCCACTGCAAATAATTTACGTTCTAGTATTTGTAATATTATTAATGTCATGAATGTACCTTCAGTTCCAGGAGCATGTGTTGATCAGAAAAATGGATATATGTTGCCACCAGTAGGGTCAGATTCTAGTCTTATATTTGGTTCAACCTTTCCCACTAATTCAACACAGTCCATTCATAGTCCTAACGGATTTGATTCTTATGCTCAATTAATTGGTGTTCCTGTAGAAGACCTTCCTTTTATATCAATGATTGGATTCTTAGTTATTATTGGGATTGCGATAACTACAGTTCTTTTGAGTACTGGTATTGCTTTAATACTTTTAAAATATAAATATAAACAAAATCCACCTGTTTCCTTGGAGAACTTGAGGGATAATTCACATTTAATATTACATGGTATATTGAAAATATTCATTTATTTCATGCAAATAAATACTGTTCTAATAATTTTTATTTTTTCTCTCTCATTTTATGTATTAGGTGGCGTTTTGCGTGTGGTAAATATATATGCTTCATAAACATCGCCAAGTTATGTTTGCAAATAACTTTATTAATTTATATATATATATTTTTATATTAATAATTATTATAGGCAATTAACTTCGCTTTTCCACTTATAGCACTCACAATATACCAGTTATCTTTCATTAATGATTGCTGGATGCTTCTTCTCCTCGCAACAATTATTTTAGTTTTCATTGTTTTTATGCACTCATTCAGTATGATACAAATCTACAAACCAATAAAGTTAAATGATATTGATACGTTACAGAATGATTAGTTGGATGAGTTACAGGATGATTAGCTGGATGAGTTACAGGATGATTGATTGGATGAGTTACAGGATGATTAGTTGGATGAGTTACAGGATGATTAGTTGGATGAGTTACAGGATGATTAGTTGGATGAGTTACAGAATGATGATGATGGGCTACATGATGATGATAATGATGGGTTGGAAGATGATGAGCTAAAGTATGATAAATTGGAAGAAGAAGAAGAGTTGGAGGATGGTGAGTTGGAGGATGTTGAACTGAAAAATGATGAAATTATTTGGTGTTTAAATACCTGTTGATCCACTTGTTCCTGATGTGGTAACATTAAACACCACCCCACCAGCAGCAAGTGCCAAACATGCTGCACCCAAGCATGCCGAAGTAGCGGTATAGGCCGTCGAAGCATTTTGAGAAACAAAAGAGTCTGCAATATTATCATCGTCAGCAATCTTGGTAACTGCACAGGCAAGGTACGGATTCTCATTCCCAGTTTGAATTGTCAAAATAGCGTAACCACCAAGTGATTCAATTAAAGAAAAATATCCATCTGTGATTTTGAGTAAAGGATAAGAAACAATAATTTACTATTTTACGCATAAAAAAAATTCTACTTACATTTAATTAAAGCTGCACCCACACTTTTTGCTATTTTTTCGTTATACGTATTGCCAGAGTCAATTATGTGGCCTGATGTGCAAGCACTTTGATTTCCGGCACCAAAACAGGGAATACCATCAAATTCCAACGCAACTGCTGTTCCATATATTTGAACATAAAGGCGTGCCGTTGCTTAACGATCAGTAAATGGATAAAGCCAAGCTTATGAAATATTATTCAATTATAGAGCAACCTTAACATTAATTATCAAAAATTAGCCTACCATTATTTACAATAATCGGAGAATTCCCTTTAAATAAAGGGATAAACGTTGATTTCGATGCAGAATAAAGTATGCGAAAATCATTGATATCCATAATACCACCACATCTGGAAAAACCATTTATAGAACTGATGCTTTTATAATCCGACGCAACATTAGAGGCATCGGATGGTATTGTTTCATTGCGTGGTATTAATGGTTGACTAAAATCTATTGCAGGAAGGGTGGTTGTAATTGCACTAGCTATTGCTTGTAGACCTAATGAGATATGATAATTAATAGACAAAATTTTATTTTATATAAATGAATGATTATAAATTAAAAAAAAAAAAAAAAACACAAAATTCATACCTGTAACTGTAACAAATGAGGTAAGTGATCCAGAACGAGTAACGGTTGATACTGATGTAAATGATGTTGATGAAGTCGAATTCACGGTTGTTGTAAAATCAACTGGAGCCGTAGGGCATTGGATTCCTGCCGTCGCAGCCGATGCTGTATTAATGGTATTATTTGCTTGTCTTCGATATAGATGACCCAATACGATAGCAGATTCCAAGTGAATAATCAAGTTCCAAGCAATAAATATAAAGAAAAAGCTATTCATCATTATAAATCAACTAGAAATTCTTCTGTTCCGCATTAGTTTTAGTCGCTTTGAGATTTTTTCTTATGTAATAAATGTTATTGCTTTTAGATAATCAAATGTTTTTGTATTGCTAAGAATTGTGTTACAAATATTTTGTGACTCTAAAATATTTGCTTAAGTCCTGATTAAGAAAATCATTTATTAATCATATGACTATTCTTTGTTGATTTAGTATGAGTTATTCTAAATAAATGATATTTCAAATTGAAATTTTGGGCTAATTAAGATGTATCCATTTTCAATACTTATCCAAGAAACTAAAGTATTTACTGATGCCATAAGATACAGTACGTAGAACATTCCATTAGATTTACCTAGTGATGGGAAAGATGCGCAATAATACGCATGAAACGTAATATGCGCATGATACCGATGTTTCATTTCGGAAAAAATCGGCATGTTTCTCAAATTTCGGTCGCGACCTTGCTCGTCTTTGAGGTTCATTGATTTTCTTTTCGGAACTTTTAAAATTCCTATTCCTTAATTCCGCCCGGCATTATGCTCTCTGGCCTAAATTACGTGGCCTAACCAAAACTTATATAAATTCTTGATGAACAAAAATGCGCATGTTCAGGTATCATGCGTGCGCATGATACTCATCTCTAGATTTACCTCTATTAATCTAATTTTTTCTTATTCAAATTCTGTACATTCAAAAACATACGTACATCATTTGTACCAATTCTTAAATGCATTATAAAATATTTAATGCAATACCTGAGTTAGCATATTAATCTCATTATAGTCACAGAATTATAAGATTTGTATGTTGTAAGAGGCCCACCGGCTCTTTCTTTCTTTATTTTATTTATTATTATATATATATATTTTGTTCTATTTTTAGTAGTCATTACATTCACTTGTAATAGCGATTATGAAAGTCTTACCTTGTACGCAGGGTTGGCACATTTATCCTTTGAGGTGAATGGCAAACTTCCATTGATATCACTCCATTGCCCATTGAGAATAATTTACGAATGGAGCCGATGGAGACCAACTAGCTTATAATATAGTATTTGTTAATAATTAGTAACCGACTCTATTGGCTTTATTGGCTCTATTAGCTCCATTGGTTCCATTAGCTCCATTGGCTAGTGTTAGAAGCAAAACGTGACCTAGCGAAGGCACTTGAGAAACGTGACCATGACCATGACCTGGACCAAGCTAAGCCTCAAGCCCAAGACCTCCAATCGGCATATGATAGAAGCATTAATCAAATGCTATCTTGGGTTT